TGTGCTGTGAATTTCGATGTCGATGTTAGGGTGGGAAACGGACCCTCGTGCCGCCAGCTGAGAGCGCAAGGGGTGGCTTCCCCCGTGCTCTAAGCCGATGCTTTCGTGCTTTGGCGTCGGTGGTAGCAAGCTTGGCAAACTGAGCCTCTTTGGGGCCTACATGTCACGACCCAACGGCTGTGTACATGCAAGTCGGCCGATTAGGCTCCAAGGAGCTAGCTTTCGAATAGTGTCCATCAACGTCCACCACTCCATGCTCGACCCCTTGTTTGAGCCCTACTCGACCCCAAATTCGCTGCAGTCGTAAAGATGCCGAAACTGTGAGCCTACTCCTTGAATGCGATACCACTTGCCACAATACAACACTGAAGAAAAAAAAGGACTCCCTGAGAAGTATCTGGAAGCGCAACCTTCAACCTCACACTCCGACTTCTCGTGCCACGTTGCTGTCTCGGTTGCCATGAAAGCCGCTGTCCTTCTCCTTAGCAGCAGAGTTCTCGGAGCCTCCATGCTTCACAACTAGGTAGTTTCGGGTGATTGAGGCCTGCATTTGTCTCGCAGGATCGCAGTTTTTTTGGCGGGATGATTTTATGGCCCGAGCTTGGTGTTACCAGCATCTTCCATGAAAGGGGAGACCGAATGGATGGACAACCTTCGTTTTGCCAACGCTTTCGACGAATCCGGGGGGCGGGGGGTGCCAAGCTTGTAGAAAACGTTCGTTTTGCCAATGAGGGAGCGGGAGAGGGCCGACAAAATCCCATCCCAAGCAAGCCACTTCCAATGTGGCATAGCACTCTGCCTACTCAGTAAGTATCCACACACTGAGTTTCTGAGGCCCGCAGTGCGCATCGGCAGGTGGAGGCGGGGGGGAGGGGTCGTCAAATTGAAACGAGCCACGAACTATGGAGCTATCATACCATGAAGGTCCTTGCCTGATTTTCCCAAGAAAATGGCAAACAAGAACGGGCGAGCTCCCAAGGCGCTAGATTTCGTGTTATGCATGTCGCGCCGAGTGAGATCGAGCTCCTGCTCCTCGTGAAGTACAGAGCTGTCCTCGCTTTTGGCCCCGAGGGCCCTAGTCGTAAGTAGCGCTGGCGATGTGCCATCGTCGCTGGTCTTTTCTTGCGTTTGGGGTCGGCGCCGGCATATGCTGTTGGTGTTAGGGGTGTCCAGGTGAGTACAAGCTAGGATCAGAGCTGCAGGGCTCTCTGATAGGGCATTCAAGACAGTCACAGCTATTGATCTTTGCTGCGTGTCTCAAACATGTACCAAGCAGCAGAGCTGGTGGGGTTGAAAAAGTGGATCAGCTCGGAGCTTTGAATTGTCTTCGATATCCCTGCCAGAGATCAAAAGATGAGCGTACAGGAGAGCTCGTGGCTTTCTGTTCTTCAGCCCGAAACAGCCGCTAAAAACGCCCATGATGCTTAGAGCTCGGACCCTAAAAGGGAGACCACACCCTGATGGCCAACCCCTGAAGCACAGCACGAAAAAAGCTGCCATGCATTGTCTGGGTAAGGAGGCAGACAAGAGAGGAAGTCAGCAAAAGGTAGCCTTCTGCAGGGCCTGCACCAGATTCCAGCCCGGACCAAGCTAGTGACCAACTGCGCAGACAACCTGTGGTGCTCAACCCTCTTACAAGAAGCGGGCGCCGCCTCCTTAAAGTCAAGTGTGGCAGCTTCAACCGGGACTGGCGACTTGAAAGTCACACAGGCCTTTTAGTCACAATCGATTGCCGCGCCTCGTCCCCCTAGGTCCGGAAGATCGCAGCCTCCACCTGCTGCGGGCAAGGGTGCTCGGCACAACACTCACCAGGCCGAATCGAAGGGCACACGCAATGCCGCTGCTGAACCATGCTGAACCCTAGAATGGGAGACCTGTAGTTTCTGTATCTAGCGATGCTGTGAAGCACGTGCAAGACGAGTCAAAAGGGGAAGGACAAGACATGACAGGACATGACAACTCGACGTTTCAACATCCCAGGGTCCTGCCTCTAGTCAGAAGCTGGTCGGTTGGACCGTGTGGCTGCAATCGTGCTGGGCGGGGGGGACAAGCCTGTAAGCTCCCCGATGTGCTAAGCCTGCTGCTCGCCTTGTAACCTGCATCTACATGCCAACTCAGAGAATGGTCGGAACTCTGCGGGGAAGCCGGTGACACGGCCTTCAAGTGACTCAGGCGTATGTTTAAAGCGAAAACAGAAAACCTTTCGGCTCTCCAAGCCCTCTCGATGGGCCCAAAGCCTGGAACGGAAACTCGAGCCAAAACGCGGCGCCGGTTGAGGGCTTTGCTGATCGAGGGAGAAAGGTCCAGGTGTTAAGGCGCTCCGTAGGCTGCCGCTATGATGCTGTCTCCTTCCGGAATCGGGCTGGAACAGGGAGGCAGAAGTCGCACAAGGGCGTGGATCCGCGAGGGAGACATACGTTGCCGTGAGGCGTTACAACTATTACTGGGACGGAGCCCATCTGAAATTCCTCAGTGCCACATGTGTTCTGACTAGCAGATAATGTACTGACCCCCCAGTGCCTGAAAAGCTGATGCAATGGCCATACCCATCCATACCCCCTTTTTTCCCCTTGCACACTCCGGCACGTTGCTTGTGCCGCCCTCCGGCCTTTGGAAGTGAGCGCTGCAAGGAAGTGCTGGGGTGAGGTGTGAGGCTTGCTGCAGTACTGCGTGATGTAGCTCATAGAGTCCCAGAGAGTAAGAGTTCTACTGTTCTACTGACTTAGGATGATGTCACACTTAGGGACCGCTGCCTGGCAGCATCGAGCAGAAAGCTCCCACGGATAGAATGCCCCCAAAACAAGGCATTCGCTCGGGGTTCAGAGCGGAGTCTGGACTGTGGGACCCAGACTTTAGAAGGCTCGCCGACACCCACATGACCAAGTATCAGCCACCACCTGTCAGCCCCAAGATACCCAATTCCTGAAAGGAAGGCTAGGCCAACCGTCGAAGAACAACTCAGCCTCGTGGGTCTCTCTCTCACCCACATTCTGCCTTAGCACCCTGAGAGGCTTAGCCTTCACAAGGGCGCCAAAGGGGCCATGAGAGGGTCTCTTGAGAAGCTTGGGGAGGCTTAGGCTTGGCGATTGTGCAGGGCTTTACATGGCTTACCGCCGCCCTGACAGCTTAAATAGGTCAAGGGACGATGTTCAGAAACCCCCCACCTGGCAGACGACTACATGGCGGATCCTGGCGGTCCGCGCTCCATGCCACTGAAACCCGAAAGCCCGGTGCACCCCTCACACATGGGACGCCAGCGCCTTGCAAATTGGGGTGGACGACCTGAGGAAGCCATGTGCTTGACTCGGCCCTCGTTTTGTGCCATGCTCACAAAGGTTCAGAATGTGACCTGGTTCGGGATGAACCAGTCGGACTTCAGGACTTCAGAAGGAGAGATGGCCTTTTTGCTCGAAGAGCATCCAGTGTCGGCTTGGAAGGCGAGATGAGCTACCGACAGCTTGCTCACTTTCCTAAGTTTGCCCTACTTGCAAGATGGATGTGGATGGACATTTCGGAACTCAACACCTGCCCTACGCGTGCCCTAAACATCCCTGAGCCCTCCACCGCCGCTGCAGCATCCTCACCCACGCGCCGCCTGGTGAAAGCTGCAAGGGGGGCTTGACGGCTTCATCACCCGGGGGGGTTTCCGAAATTCAGGGGTACCTTATTTTGAGCTAGGCCTTTGCGTGGGATCTACACGAGGTTTCATAGGGCCTAGCGCCTGGTCTAGGCCTCATAAGAGGCCTAATTCGCCACGTCTGGTCTATAGCCTTTGAATAAGTCGCTGTGGATTTGAGAGGTCTCACATGAGTTCCTGGCCCCCAACCCTTTTTTCAATCTGCACATACCTGACGGGTAGAGTCGGCAGGGGGGGCTCAGCGTCCGAGTGCAATGGTAGATTGGTCTTGGCTGAAAGGTTCGAAGCATGTCTCCCGTTCAGCTTGTCAACATTGGGCGCTGATGCAACAAGACATGACCAGCATTTGGAAGGTGTGAGTAGCACTGAGACACGCCTGGGATCTCCAGGCACTGCGTGGCTGGGCACTTGTAGCCCGCAACCACAGCAGACGAGGCTGTAAGACTCTGTGACAACTGCGCGCGCGATCCGCTCAGCGGAAGCAAGAACAGGCAAGGCACCTTCACTGCAGGCGGCTTCAAAAAAGCCGGAACGATGAACTGTGAGGGAAGTGTGCTTTCGTGGTTTAGTTTGGTCTTCAGGTGTTTTCAGCTCAGCACATCGCATTCTTTTTGTGAACAGTGCGCTCAGACCTGGTCAAAAACCAGAAAAGAGGCCATGGTGAACTTCCAACATCTGTACCAGCTGCCAGGCTTGGCGACATCAACCAGTGGACTAGAGCACACTAGCTGCTGCACGACCACTGAGCTCAAATACTAGCCTCTTGCTTGAAACAGCAAGCCAACAGCCCAACCTACGCTGAATATAAACCCAGTCGGGCCTGGGAATCAAGACCGAACAACTATTTCAACGAAGCAGCGCTAGTGGATGAAACACTGAAGCTATCTGATACGTAGGCCCGAAATCTGCCAGGTAACATCGTCGTAGCTAGCTCGGTCCAAGCAAAACGGAGTCAACAAAGATGCCATCAAGCCAGTGCTGGTGTCGAGGAATATGGAAGCTCATCTGCTGACAGCCCTAAACTCCTTCATCACCTGCTCCATCTCTCAGGGTACGGTTAGCGGGTTAGTCACGTCCCTCAGCCGTTTATAATCCTTAACACATCATCCACAAGAGGCATGCACTTCCCACCAAGCTCATGGACTCATATGGACAACCCTGAAAGGGGTGCTCAGGAAGCTTCAAGGCACTTGGAGTTTTGGGGTCTGAGGAGTTTGGGGTTCACTGCAAGGTGCTGAAGTCCCTTTTGGCCTGGCTTCAACTTGCCTTGGAGTTTAAGAGCAACTCAGATCTCGTTGCAAGTAAGGAAAATGCGTCCGATGCGATGGAGTGGGGCTTAAGGACTGAGGCGAATGCACGGGGCTCACCAGACTCTCAGGCCATCGTCCTTGGCTTAGGATGGAGTTGATGCTTTTCTTTCGGCGGGGCTCACCCTCAAAAGCAAATCCAACAGCTTGACACTGCCCGAACTACCTGTGTGTGGTGCAAAAAGGGGGCTTGGCTCAATCGAGTTCAAAAACAATCCCACGACATCCAGGTCAACCCTAAACCCTGAACCCTTAAACCCCTAAACCCCTAAACCCCTAAACCCCTAAACCCCTCAACCCCTCAACCCCTCAACCCCCAAACCCCCAAACCCTAAACCCCAAACCCTAAACCCTAAACCCTAAACCTCGAATGCGAGACTTGACCATTGCACCGACTGCAGGCTCCGGATCGCTGTCGGAATCGTTTTCAAAGGCCCGGCTTCGGGTCATGGTCTGGACCTTCGGGAACCCCGACGGTTTAGGGTTTAGGTTTAGGGTTTAGGGTTTAGGGTTTAGGGTTTAGGGTTTAGGGTCTAGGGTCTAGGGTCTAGGGTCTAGGGTCTAGGGTTTAGGGTTTAGGGTTTAGGGTTTAGGGACTCACCCAGTTGCGTCCGGCTTCAATAAGGGTTTGTGATGCATGCTGGGGGTTGGACTCAGAGACTAAAGCTGGCCTAGGTTCCGAATGCCAAGGAAGTTTTAAGAGCGCCCGTGGCGGACCCTCAGGGAGTGAGACCTCTGTTGTGCCCAAGGAACGGTAGAGAGGTTGCCATCCACCACCTTCCCCATGACCTGGCAGGTGTGTGTTGGAGTTTGGTCTGGCTTGTGGTCGTCCCTCTCTTGGGGCGCAGTAGGTGTGGCGGTGTACTCGCGGCTAATTTGCGGTTGCGGCTGACCCCCGCTCCCTCGAATGGAACTTCGGGTGGGGTGAGGGGCCAGGAGAAGCAGCGGGCACAGAGTGAGCAGCAGCCGATACTGCCGACACTCAGCAAGAAAGGAACCATGTGCCGAAGCAGACAATCTGCGCAGATGATTAGCCGAGATCTTTGCAGGCGGAAGATTAAGAACACGCATTGTTTTTTTCCTTCAAGCACACTGCAGGTCATCACGTTCGCCATCACGCTCAAAGCATACCGCAATTACGAACACATCCACTTCTCGCACTCTTTCCCAACCCCTTAGTCGGAGGAGCCACACTTCACCTGCTTATGCTTGCAGTCGACTAGGGGAGCCCTACAGTGACGTGTTGCGTGCCTTGCCTTGGGCATGGACTCCATGTTCCGCGCGCCACGAGGTGCGACAAAGCGATGCAGGAAGAGAGCTCCGCAGAGGCAGGACAGGCAGACCTTTCATGGTTTAGGGTTTAGGGTTTAGGGTTTAGGGCTTAGGGATTTGGTCTGCGGCCTCTCGGGTTTAAGACTATACAGGCCTTCCTGTCATGTGGAGACCCTGGGAACGCATCTGTCGAAGATCAACACCGACATCCCAAAACCTCCAACCGCGAAGGCCTCGCACGGAACTGGGAGCAAAAAACCGCCCTTAACCTCGTGAGAGGTTGAGGTTCTGGACCCGCTTGTTGGAAACCACTGAAACGCGGCAGAAAAAAAGACCCCAAAGAAGCCTCTTTACGCCCCTTTCTCCGGATCTTTCACAGAACTTTTCGGCGGGCCACGAAGAGTGCCCCGGCCACCAGCATCCTAAAGCCTCGAGAGCAGCTTTCAGCAGAATGCATCTACAAGTCTACGATGCTTCACGAGATGGTTTGAATGCTCACATGTTTCTGGGAGGGGGAGGTGTCTGAGATTTCTTGAGTGGCTACAGGATTTCACATCCCAAAACTATTGAGTTCTTGACGCTGAACGCCCGAAAGTTCGTGCACGTCGTGGCAGCAGATCTCAAAAAAATCACACGACGTCAGCCGGGCGTCCGTGGCCAGTGGAGGGATCCGCGAAACTGCGGAGGCTGGTCTGAGGCTCGGCCTCGCCAAGCAGGTCTCGGCTCAAGGACGTTAGGGCCGTGGCCTTTGGGCTTCTACCGCTTCCTGGCTGTTCATTGGCTTGGTCCTAAAACCCTAAACCCTAAAGCCGGCCTTGACGCAGAGGTAGTTGCCCTGTCTGGACACCTGGGGGCAGCCGGTGTTTTCCAGGTAAGGCCAAGGATTGAAGAACTGGAATGGAGGCTGGTCGAATCACTCACAAGGACCCCAAACTGTGGCTTGGAGGAGCGCGGGATACTCACCGGGTGGTCTAGTGGTCTTCCGTTCCGACGCACCAGTCTCGCTACAGCCAGGGCCTCCCTGGCAACAGCCGAACTGTATCTACGCCACCCTACAACACACCACATCCTAGAACATACTGTTACGAAGAGTGACACGTACCAGTACTAGAAAAAACGCTTCAACGCTTCAGAGATGCGCCTGGCAAGCACTGCCCCCTTTGCAAGGGTTGGAGCTTGGATGGCACTCGTCCAGGGCCTCCGGTGGCTGCTGCACCATGGCCTGCTGACTGGCCTCTTGGTGTCTCATGCCCTCTTGGTGCGGCATGCCTTGGTGCGGCACGCCTTGGTGCGGCATGTTGTGGGTAGCGCTGCGCATGTGCTGCCCACCTTCGTGCATACCTGCACCAGCACCTCTCATCATGTGCCCGCCCTGACCGGGTTGGTGATCCGGGCGTGGCCCGGTAGTACCTGGGGTTCCCAGCGATGAGGGAGGTGAAGCTACGTCCTTCTCTGTGCGGCGGCACGTGCTGTGTCTCAGCACCCCTGCCCGGCAGGACAGGCTTTCGGGGCCATGATTGTTCCCGTTGTACTCCGCCAGCGTGGCCTGCATGAAGAAGCTGTCTCCCACTCCACCCAGTAGCTCCTCGTCAGTTCCTTTGTTGCCCTGCTCAAACAGCTCAAACTGTAGAACATCGCAAAACTCCCTTAAGAGCCTACAGCGCGGTGCCCTAGAGTGCCTTGCAGCAAAAACTTAAGTGTCCCAGCTTTCTGGTCGCACCAGGGCACGGAGCTCCAGGACCCCACCCTTTCGGGCACCTGCCTTTGGCAGGACGAAGTGCTTTGTCTGCCCCACCTGGAGGACAAGGGGCTTGCAACTTGAGGATTTGTTGTGTGGTCTCCAAAACCTCAAAGCCAAGCAAAAAAAAAAAAAACAAAGCCCCCGTCCTAACTCGAAGCCCCCCTCCCAAAGCCAGCCCACCTCGCGCCCAACCAACAGTTCCACGGACTCAGTGGAGGAGGCGGCCACGTCGCCGCCCAGAAGCTCCAACAAGACCCTGTAGCCCTCCTCGGGACCATGAATGTTGGGTTCAGGGCTCAAGGCAAAGTGGGTGGGTAAGGGCTCCAAAATGTGAGATTCGGATGGAGGCGTCTAGAATCCGAGCCATTAACCATGTGTCGGGCCTAAGACTGCCTGTGCAGAGTTGCTCAGGTGGTTGTTCTTCGGGGAAGTCCGGAAGTTGATGTTGACTTGCTCAGCCCAACCTGACCCCTGGCACCTTCGAAAAAAAGCCAGTCATGACCCTCTAAGCAAGACAACACACAAATGCACATGGCAAATCCTCGGTCTTCTCCACATCGACGGAGCCGATCCAGGGTCCCAAATCCTCCAGGTCAGTCGAGGCTGACAGGTCTGAGAAATTTTGGCTCCCGGACTAACAGAAGGCCCTTGCAGTTCAGGGGTGCGCGCCTGTCAGGCTCTTTGCAATGTTTTCCACTCCCTCCCCCTCTGCCCCCCTCCACCCCTTTTCCCCTCCTGAGGCTCTTTAGGCTTGAACATTAGTGCATTCGCCAATCTTAAACCCGAAAATCTTGAACCTGCCTTGACCTGCTCGTTGCAGCCGCTTCCCCCCAGGGCTGCGTCCAAGAGCCACGCCAGCGCCAATGAACGCAATGCCATGGCCATGGCGCTTGCAGAGCGTGGCAGGGGCTTAGAACAAATCAAACGACTCAATTCTAACACGTGAAATGCTCCCGTTGTCAATTTTTCATGCCAGATGGGTTCGGACAACAACCAGACTTGTGGGCATGCTATGCGATCTCGGGGTCACGGTCCGTCCGCACGTACTCGGTACACGGAAGACTTGTGGTGCTTCGGACGTCTAGACGAGATCCCAACTCCTGCAAAGGCTGTGGACCATCACTATGAGACTCTGCATGACTCTGCGTAGGCGTCTGTGCAGGCTGCTGGGAGGTGATCGGGATTAAGCAGGTCGGGGTGCGACACCCGGCCCGCAAAGCGGCCCGGCAAACCTTTTCCCTCGTCGCCATTTAAGATGTCTGTGGCATGAGATCTCCTCGAGCTCCTCGGGCGTTGGGAACAACAAACCAAAAGGGTCCGTCCTTGGGGCGGGGCCCTTTTGGTGATGAAAATTGGCAGGCTGCATATGGGGTGTGGGCGTTGGGTGTCGGTTTGGGGATGCTTGAGGCTTTGATAAACTTTGGGCTGGACCCATGCTGAATTTTTTTTTCAGGAGATGCTCAGAAGTGCTGTGCATGTGGCTTGTTGGAGCAGCCCGCCAACAAGACGACGCGGCCGGATTCCCTTTAGGGAGCGCAAGAGATAATTCGTCGTCCATCGGTCGGAGCTGAAGGCTCTGCCAACTCTTGCTTAGAGTGTCGGACAGTGAAGGAGTTCTAGCGACAGGGCTCGACTCCGGTCTGGTAATGCTTGCCACGAGCCCTCATACCAACTCTGGGAGACGAAACACATGGCGGTGTTTTAGACAGCCTGGCTTGTGCCGGAGGCCTGACAGCACCATGGGAGATAAAGTTCACGGGCTGAATGACTCAGAAGCTTTCCAGGGTTCTGGCCGGGACCGACAGAATAAGGGGGGTTGTGAGAACACCCTCTCAGCGGCCGTGAGCTTTCGCATATACAGAGGATCGCAGAGGGGATTCCAAACACTGGGACCCCTTGCACCACCCCCAGGGTTTAGGGTTTAGGGTTTGGGGTTTAGGGTTCAGGGTTTAGGGTTTAGGGTTTAGGGTTTAGGGTTTAGGGCAGGTTTAGGATGCAAGGGTTCGTGGAGATTGCGAGGCCCCGAGTTTTGCCGGACCTTCGCCAGACTCCACATCGATGCCTCCTGAAAACGCATAGACATAGACTGCCATCAGCAACCACAAGAAGGCTAGTGCCGTCAATCGGCGCACCACGACAACCATGCTGTGGATTCTGGATCGTTTACACCCGGGGGCCCTTCCAGATCAGACACAGCCGACTCTGTGGGCCCTTCTGGTTACCCGAGTGGCGGAAGGCTCCGCGATTCAGAAGGGCCTCGCATCCGCAAATATGGGATCCGGGGCTTGCTGCTGTGGGAGTTTGTGAGTTGTTTGGGAGCCTGAGATACAGCTGCGGACCTGGAGAAGCTTTGAGTCTTTGAGAGGCCTGGGGCGGATTTGAGGGTCTTGAGATTGTCTGGCTTTGCACATTTGGGGCTGAAGGCTAGGCATCCCCCTCAATGTTGCCGCCGATGGATTTCCCAAAAACACCCCCGGAACACCCGGAACCCCAAACCCCCAGATTGGAAACCCCACACTGACACCCTTGGACCTTGAACCATGGGTGTGTCTCGCTTTTCTGCGGAACCCAGGCACTGCCCCAAACCCTGCCAGGGCACTGAAAGAGGGGCACTCCAAGGGCACTCAGCCCTCGAGCGCGCGCAGCACCGCGTGCGCATCGAGGTCGCTTTGCTCCAGGAAGGCGCAGAAGGTCTTGAAAGTGATGCCATCAGCCTGGCATCCATGGTGTTTAGGGACTTAGGGTCTTGAATTCAGGGTACTTCAAAGCAACCTTCCCGGGTACTTTTGTACTTTGTCGAACAGCTCTGGACCTAAGCTTTCGGGATCCTCCCCTCCCCCCTGTGGGCCTCGAGTCTTTCGAGTCAGAAGCTGGCAAACCCAGGGCCGAAAAGTCTAACGCATCGGGAGCAAGCCCCCGGCCTTCGTGTCGACTGCCTCCACCAGGGCATCGATTTGATTCCTGCCCAGCGTGTTTTGAACCGTTTAGCCTTTTAGCCCTTTAGCCTTTTCGCCTTTTCGCCTTCTAGGGAGTCTCTCAAGCTTCCGCAGGGCAGCACCTTTGGTGGCATCTCCATGCAATGTTGCAAGACTGGGTTATAGCGGCTTGGAGATGGAATCCGCCGAGTCTACCGTGCAGTGCAACCATGCGCGGCTTAGTCTGCTTTCAAAGCTTTCAATAGGGCTCTGGGCCCCCCCCCTCTTCGTTTCACTCCTCAGGGCTATATACACAATTTATACTCTATTATGTTATACTGAGTTTTCTTCTCTTTTGTTACATTTTATTATAGTATACCAGCTTGGGGTCCATTCCCCTCTCCTTTGGGGCTTAATCATTTGCATGACTCATCCTTTGCCACAGAACACACAGCGCTGCAGCTCTGCAAATCTGCTTCCCCACTACAATCTACCATGCCTCGTGCATACTAGACCGCGGTGCAACGCACCTGCGAAGTCTGCAACAAATCTCGGACCATACAACAGGTCGTCAGAGTGCTCTCGCCCCCTAGTCCTGATACCACAGAGCCCCAACAACCATGGGTGCATTGGGAGGGCAGAGTCGGAGCTTCTATCGCTACCACCCAAAACTGACTCGTTGCGTCCGGAAACATGAAAGCCCGACGATCCTTGAACTTTGTGAGCGCTTCGAGACCGAGAACGATGGTTATACACTGAACTGAACCCTTGCCGGTCGATCAAGGCACGAGCTCCCAACACTGCCAGTTCATCTTCCAATTCAGAATGGTTTCCCCTGAAGACTAAAAGCTCGATGACTGGTAAACCCCGCATGTTTCCGTGTTTGAAATTCATGACACGCACACGCCTCAACCACGAACCCTCCGGGAGCACCTGTTGAGGTCGCAGTCTGTCTGGGCGAGGAGAAGCACCAGCTCCTCTGTCTGGACCACGCCTCACTTAGAATCGCAGCAAATGCGGCAGCACGCTTTCTGACACGGAGCAGCGCATGTATCCTCAAAAAAACGCAGGTGTGGAGGGCTTTTCAAAAAAGCCGTCTAGGGCTAGATTGAGGGTCTGATTGGGGTGGCTATGCCTTGAGTGTTAAGGGCTTCCTTCGGGTTTACCGCTTAAGGTGTTTAAGGTTGTCGTGGCTTAGGGCGCTTACGCTTGAAGGTGACAATGGCAGACGGTTGAGCAGTTTCCGAGGAAGCCGCCACTAGCCACACTAGCCGACCCTGATCCCACATTAAAGCCACGAGAACCCAAGCACCTGGCTTTCATCTCCCCCAAACACAAGGAAAACTAATCTAGACCCAAAGCGGAATAGTAATCGCAATCCCTCGCAGCCCCAAGCTTTCCCCCATGGCCCTGGAGCATCTGCAAGAACTTCAACTTTCTACCACACGCTTCGGTTCCTTGTCCGTTCGGATCCAGCTTCTTCCAGACTGCCTTTCCCAGGGGTCTGCAAAGTTGCGCAAAGTTTCTAGGATTCTAGGCACAACTGGGGGATGATAAGTCTAGGCAAGACTGGGGCCATAAAAATCGGCCTCCACAGAACCACAACCGAGAATTAACGGTCAAAACGCTCCCAATCGCTGGAAGCACGCCTCCCCACCCACACACAACCGCAACACACACACACACACACACACACACACACACACACACACACACACACACACACACACACACACACACACACACACACACACACACACACACACCCACACACACACACACACCCACCCACACACCCACACACACACACACACACACACACACACACACACACACACACACACACACACACACACACACACACACACACACACACACACACACACACACACACACACACACACACACACACACACACACACAAACACACACACAAACACACACACAAACACACACACAAACACACACACACACACACACACACACACACACACACACACACACACACACACACACACACACACACACACACACACACACACACACACACACACACACACACACACACACACACACACACACACACTTACTTCTGAGCTTTGAGGTCAAGCCCGTTGGATGCATCGGGGTATAGATAATCACAACTGCATCGTGCAGGGGAGTTCCAACACAGCTGAATTTCATGGAGGCTCAAGACGACTGGGGAGTGACAGTTCCCAGGCACGCACCGCTGAGGCAAACATGCCGTTTCCCCCCCCCCCCCCGAAAGATGAACGTGCCACCCCAGCAACGAGCAGTAAAGTGCTTGGCAAAGTCGACCATGACAGCACCCTCCTTCGGCCCCCATTCGTTGTGTCGACCCCTTGTGTCAACACGCCCGCCCAAATATCTGGGGCACAGTGTGCAAACTGCGCACCACATGCCATGGCGGAAAAAGCTCCCCAATGCAACCTACACATCCAGCGCGGCACACGTCGCGGCCCCGAGCCTTTAAACTCGGTTACACCTCACAGTCAGATGCTTTCCCCTCATGACGCCAGCCTTGGCGTGCTCTTGGAGCTTCAGCCTCAGAAGCAGTGGCTTCAAACTACAGCACTTACAGGTCTAGGGGGTTTATACGGCTTTTTCAACAAGCTGTTTCAGCAAGCCCTGAGGCCGTATTTCGCAAGCCCGGGTGAGGCTCCGGACTTGGGACTTAGGATTTCCCCTAGGATTTAGGATCCCAGGTTCAAGGTTCGGGCTTCGGCAATTTCACTAGCAATACTTTTGCCCCGAAGCACCCGACCGTGAGTCCGAAACGCCACACCTACTGCAAGCCCGAAACCAAGTCTCGAAGTCACCCACCTCAGCCCGTACCCAAGCCCTCCACTGAGCCCCCATATGAAGGATTCTTCCCATCATCAGGCCCAGTCGCTTCTCTTCGTCGGCAAACTCCTCGATGTCGCCTCAGGCAACCACAGCCACTCCACGCTCCCAGAAACGCGGCATCGTGCGTTGAGCTTAGGAGTTGAAGGGCGAGAGGTTCCGTTCTTACAGGTGGGGCCTGGGTGGCATCTTCGACTTCCGCATTGTTTGGGCGATTCCATTGACACCTAAGAGCACAGCAAAGGCTCTGGCACGGATTCCTGAGGCAAGCAGTGGCCTGGCCCGATCTCTTTCACTGTTCTGCCCCAAACTCCCTTGATTCCATCTTGATTCCCAGTACAAGTGAAGGCTTGAAATCCAATTGCGCACTGAAGCCTCGGACCTCCCAAAGACCCACAGGAAGACAAGTCGATCCCGCCTGTAAACCCACAACCCGGGGAAGCTCAGTCAGCTTCATGGCACTGGTGGCGCGCCCAGCAAACGACGGCAAAAATGCAGCTTGCTGTTTAGGGGACGCTACGGGTGGTGCGCCATCAGCATGCCTCATTCGTCCGTGAGGGCCAGATGCCAATTGGGCGTTGTTGTTTCGGGGCGTGGCCGACTGCCACACGGCGCCTGCTGACAGCAACAGGACCCGCCCAGAAATCGAGGCACCTGGCCATGCCAGCCAGTGCAGCCACCTAGTGGCAATTTCAATCCGGAGCTGCCCCTCCTCACACGTCCCTGCTTATTAAAACCGCACTCGCGGACATGATTCCTGCTAAGGCCCAAACACAAGAAGGATTCCCTGATGTCACAAAGACACCCCTTGAAGATCGTTTCCTGGATCCACGGATGCGCCGATGAGCGAATACGAGCTTGTTCACAAAGTGAATGGTCAGAAATCCTCAACCGTCCTTGCACCCTCTCGCATATTGCGGCAAACCTGCTCTTGCCACCGAAGCCCAGATTGCAAAGATGATTTTCAGCCTGGTGGCTCATGCTGATTTTTTCGGACCTCAGGTGCGGAAGTACGCGTGCCTAGAGGCGGGGGGTTTGGAGCCTGGCTGCATACAGCTGGGGTTTGAACGGTTGGAGGCTGGTTCGAGGCTTCGGGGGCTTTCACAGCTAGTCCCTGCAGTCCCGTGGACCTTCACAATGCTTGTCTGAATCCATGAAAGCCGACAGCAACCGAAGAACAACCGAGGGCCAGAAGCACGGGGTCCGTCCGGGGAGAGCAAAAAACCAACTTCTGCATCTCGATTCAAATGATTGCCCCTCTTGTGATTCGAACTCCCAGGCTGGAAGTCGGCGGTGGCCAAAATTCAGAGGCATGTACGAAGTTTAGGGGACGGCATCAACAAATGAGGTCGACGACTTCGGCCAGGCGACAGGTACGCTTCCTTGGAGTACTCCTGCAACCAGGCAGCATCCATGTGCCAAATCTCAGAACTCTACGCTCTTGGCCACCTAGAAGCAACGCAGCCTGCCTGATGCGCACGTAGCTTACGCATCAATGTGATTGGTCTGGTAACTCCGAAAAAAAGAAAATCAAAGACCCAAGCAACACGCTCTGAGCCCCCCGAAACGACGCGCGCATCTCCTCCCCTTCGGGCATCAGCGGTGGGTTCATCTCGCGGCCCAAGATCTGGGTGAAAAGGTCACCTGTCCAGACCAGGGAAGCGTGGATTCTTAGTCGCTCCCAAATGTGTAATCGCCACCTCAGAGCACCCCCAAGCATTGGGACAAAACGAAACTGATCCAAACACCACTCCGGGCGCTTTGGCCCAAAAGCCCCAATAAACCCTCAACCCTGAACCCGGCGCTGCCTTTGCTGCCGGTCATCTTGAAGAACTTGTGCTCCTGAAGGTGTAGAGTTTCGGGCCAGGGTTTAGAGGGCTTAGGGTTTAGGGTTTGGGGTTTAGGGTTCTTTTCCTTCCCCCCCTCCCCCCTTCCCCCGCGCGTTCAACATCTGGGGTTCTGAACATACCAAAGGCTCTAGAAGGCGTTTATCGAGGCCTTGCCGAGGACGCCTGCTTCGAGGTTCTGGGAAGGCGAACCCCTAAGCCTCCCCAAACTTCCCCAAACCCCCCCCAAGACCTGGATGCAGTTTGGGGTTGCATGGGCTTTTTTGTGCTGTGAAGGGAGCACAGGAGTTTCAGGGTGCTCTTGAGCTCGGGTTGAAATGAGGCAGAAGGCTTGCGCTCTGCGCACTTCTCTGCCTCTGCGGCCAAGTTGGGGCAACCCGCAATTTCTGGCTAGTCTTTGGCTCTGCCGCTTGGGCATCGCCCTTCTGAGCTCTTGAGGTTTTGGGGTCGTGGGGTCTAACAGCTTTAGTACTTGAACTTTACGGCATAGCTTTCCGTACTCCTGGGCAACCTTACCAAGCCAAAACTGCACCAAACACCGCTCGCAAGCCCATACAGAGGAAGGGCTCCTTCACCTCCTGCCAGCTATCGTGCGAGCCCATTCGCTCCGCCGGATCCTTGCAAAGGAGGCGCTCCATCCTCAGCGCTGGAGACTTCCCGGGCTCAGGAAACGAAGAGCTGAGGATACGAAAGCTTCCGGGCACTTTGGTAAGTTGGTCAAGTACAGGGCCTCCTCATCCCTGTGAAGCTATACCCGGTCACCGTCCACATCCTCATCCCCCAAAAGATTTTATAAGGCTCGGGGCCCAGGCTCAAAGGCATCCAGGGTTGAGGCGGTTTAGGGCGGTTCCGTGGCTTGTGGATGCGGGGGGGGGGGGGGGGGCACCAGCGCCACGGAGTTTTCAAGGCTAGGGCTCATGGGAAGCTGGGATTCACGACTCTCCAACAGGCCCTCAGAATGCACAGATGTCTGCGCACTGGCCGCTAATGTGCCGTGCGGCAAGTTCTTCCCGGCATTGTCATTGTACTTTGGCGGGAAAGCCAGCGTTTCCTAGGTGAATCTCCAGCAGCTCACATGAGCCCGAACAAGAACGAAAGCATGATTGCTCAGCCGATAGACACCCTCTCGTTGCGCAATCGACATTTTCGACTGGATGGACGGCGATTTCGGTTTGGGTTTGGACCCATCTTGAAAGCAAGTCCTAGCAGTCTTGGCGAAGCTAGAGGCCACGATGGAAAGTTGCCGGTGCTTCAACACCAAACCGCCCCCCAAAGCACCCAACCTCCAATACCGCTGCAATGATGTCATCCTCCTCAGCCGACCTGAGCAGCAATGGGGAGAAAAACAACCGATGATCCTTGCTTCAGTGTGTCTTGTTGTTGGGGCCGAGTGTTCGGAATAAGCACAAAACCTTGACCACATGATGCCTGCGAATATACTGACCTCACAAGACATCCTTCGGGCAGTCTCTGTGTGTCTGCTGAATCGCACCCCCGTAAGCCGTGAGCCTCAGCGTCGTCACAGTACGCACTCAACACCCCCATCATGGTTTCTCAGAGCGGATCAGCCCAGCAGCTCGTTCCCAAAGGGTAGCCGCCCACAGACCATCTCATAGACCATGATGCCCAGCGACCAGAAATCAATCTCGAGGCCATAACCTCAAAAATAACATTGGACGGACCTTTTTGGCTCAAGGGGTTGCAAGGTCAGTTCATCACAGCTCACGCACAGCATTCATCCAAGGTGCCTCGGCCGACAAAGATTTCGGGCGCCATGTAATACACCTTCGTGGACAAATTTCAGCGTGTCGCCCTGAAACCGCAACCCTGCTGACCAGACGAACCTTTCAAAGCTTCACAAGCCTCATCTTGAACCCCCGAGCTGCGAATTGCCAAAGGGAAATTCTGGAAAGCTCCCATTCTGCGAAGGTGCGGTCCCAACGATGGTGAACGTCTTGCTCTGGTCCCGCATATCCTTTCTCCCAACGTTTAGGGTCTCCAATGGGCCCATGGGGCTCCACGAAATTCTAGAAGAGAGCGCTCCCGAAACTAAAGGCATCCGACAGTCCTTCGCCAGCCCGAAGTCGACAAGCTTGACGTAGCCTTGCGAGTCCAGCATCACGTTCTCCTCAGAAGGGCGGTTTTCGCACAGGCGGGCCCCCCCTTATTCCCCCCTCCTTGATCCCCCTTAATTCCCCTCTCCCTCTATCGCCGCGCTGCGGGCTTCAGGTCCCGGTATGCGACGCCCGCCAGGTGCAGGGCCTCCAGAAGCATGAGGGCACGCGCATTTCTAAGGAGTTTGGGAGCTTCGGAAGTTTTCGGGAAGGCAGTCTTCGAAGGCCTGGTGAAGGCTCAGGGGGCTGGAGCTTCGCGGACAATCACAAAGCACCTGTCCACAATCCTGAAACTTGTTGTCCGAGTACTTGGGGCCTGAAGAACAAAGGGGGGGATGGGGGATGGGGGATGGAGGATGGGGAGGAGGACGGAGGATGGGGAGGAGGATGGGGGGGTTGAGGGGAGGTTTTGGTGTCAGGGAAGGGCCCCGCCTCGAGGATGAGCACCAAGGATCCTGCATAGAACCTCGGAGGACCGCTTGGAGGGCTTTGGGAAGCTTTGAGTAGCTTTGGGAGGCTTTGAGTGGCTGATTCGTCTTGAAGGGCTTTCTGGAGGTTTGGATAAAATGAGTTCCATTTGCCGGCTTTGCCGCGGGAGACTTGTTAACCTCTTTGTCGCGGTTGGGGGCGTGATGATTCTATGATATTCTATTTCAGCCGCACAAGACGTTGATACCCTGGTTAGCCTCACCATGCTCACTCCATTCATGCTACAGCCATGGTCGCTTTTCGAAAATATGGTCCGTTTTGGGGTCCGGCCCCTAGAAAAGGGGCCATAATATTGAGAACTGAGCATATTGTTACATCGGTTTTAGTGCATCAAGGAGCTGGGCATGTCGGCGACTGGCGGCACCCATCTTGTCCTGGCAGAGGGCGCGCCAAGGACTCGCTGGGGTACCATTTTGGACGCTGGCAGCTCCCTCTGCGACGAGCGGCTGCACCCTCAAAACCAAGAACGCCTTAACCCCTCAAGGCCCGGCTCCCGCATCTGCTCGTAGAGCTGACCGCCGGTGATGAGCTCCGTGAGGATGTAGAGGCTCTTGTCAGTCCTTTTTGCACGGTAATTTTTACCAACTTACCATGGACCTTGAGGTTTTCAGGGCTTTGGCCGATCTCTTGGGGCTGAGCTCTCCTTGGAGGCTGAAACTGAGGCTGGGCGAGCCAAGGGGCTCTAAGGATGGCTTCAAGGCCTCATAACCCCACACAGCCTCGAAGACACTTCTGACGCGACACGATGGCAAATCACGCTTTTGACACGAGGGCGGGCGGCACAAAGGCCAAAGAGCGCACAAAGAGCGCAGGACACCCGAAAACTGGCCTGACACTTCTTGAACCGCGTGCGACGACGATGTGTTGATGTGAGACGATTCCCATAAACGCAACCCACAGCGACGGCCGCTCGGGAGCCCTTTTCGCCTGCGAGGGGATTCTCCAGAGGCAACCTTTCACCCCGGTGGGGGATCGAGCGCCGGTCTCTTCTTGCCTGTGATTCTGCCTTGGGGGCTTCCCTTCCGTGGCTCTTTTTCTGCGGTTTTTGGAGCCATCTGGGAGCCGCTTCATGCCTCGGGGTGAAGGGGACTGCTTTCCTGGTTTCGAGGACCTTGGCAAACTTGGGAGGTTACGGATTTGTTAGGGTGCTGGCGGTGGGCCGAGGGACACGACAGTCAGGGGGGCTCAAGCAAAGGGGGACAGCAAGATCGCTCTGAAGAGCACGAACCTTAGCCGTCTAAAGTCTAAAGTTGGCTTCTGCAAGTCCGATGCCACATGAATTTCGAACTAAGGTGAACGAGGTGCTTATTGCTTCCCCAACTCTCAATTGTGACGTCCCTTCCGGTCACTGCGGGAAGTCGAACCCTGAAGCCGCGGATGCCCGAGCCCGCGGCTGGAAGGACTTCACGAGCTGCAGGACGAAGGGGTGGCTCGCCATGCTCAGGAGGTTGCACTCCTCCTGGATCTCCATCGGCACCTGCATGGAATTTTGGGTGGAAGAGCTTCTCTGGGTGCTTCTGCTGCTGTGGGCCTTATGTGTGTGAAAAGCCCACAAACCGCAACCCAACCCCAACCCCCACAGACGCAGAAGCAGAACACCAGCAAAAACAGCACAAGCCCTTCCGCATGGTGTTCGGTTGGGTTCAGGCTATGGCAACTTGGATGGGCTTGGGTGGCACCGAGCTCTGGCAGTTTTGGGTGTCTTGGAGAACGGCGAGAACGACGGACTGGAACCCGGCTGGCAGAGGCGCCCCTTTTGGGTTTGAACCCCCCGCCCACAAGCGGCTTGACCTGGCCATCCTCCTTCTTGATCCGTTTCAGCGCATATCCTGATCTTGGGAACAAGAGTCTCAGTGTTTACGTCAGTGGCAACATAGGTGGCAACGTCGTTTGGGACTCATCGCACCAGGACCCCAAGGCCGGCTGAGGGTACTGACTGTATGTTTCCGGCTGTGTGGCTTTTGCTCAGGCTTCTACAACATGAAACCCTAAAGCTGAACCTTCGGCCTTACACCTCTCCAAACCTGCCCAAAAGCGTCCCCAAGACATCCCAAAGCCTCCCATTTGCAGGCCCGTCGCGCGCCCCGGTCTTCACGTGCTCCACGAGGCGGACGGATCCAAAGGATCCTACGCCGATCATCCGCACGTGCCTGGCTCCCGAGAATGTCCGCTTTCCACGTGCTTCTTTTTTCGTCATTTGGAGGGGTTTGCGATCTTGAGGGGGGTACCTTTTTGGGGTCCTTTTTATCAGGGGATCCTACTAGTTGGGGGTCTAGATTTGGGGTCCCGCTGAGGCCGCTCCGAGTTCCGCCCCACCGAACCCCGCAAAATGAAAAACCCCCTTCATCCTCCCAGAAGGACGAACAAACAGCAACAGCTGCTGCTTCCGCTATATTGCAACTGCTACGACGCTAGTACAAAGAAGACTAGTACTACGACTCCTACGACGACTACCACCGATACTGGTTTGCTCCGAGAGGTGAGGCGGGGAGTTGGTTCTAGGTGCTGACGACCCACGCAAACGACCCTTACCTCCAAAACACAAACCCTAATGGGAATTAAAGCAGCAGCCGTAGTAGTTTTCTTCCTAGGAGGAGGAGCAGCAGCAGGACGGGTGGCGGCAGCAATACTATTGTCATTGTTGCTGCTTCCGCCTCTCGTTCTGCCGAGGCGGTGGTCGTTTTACTAAATGTGCCATCTCGCTTAGTCAGAAAGTGAGCACCCTCTTGGTGTTTCGCGCTTTGTCATTTCTGAAACGTGCAAAAAATTGCATTCAGCGCGACGAAGTGCTTGGTTTGTGGCAGGGCCGTCGATGTCAGACATGTCGCCGAGCAAAAGGGTTGTTCCACCGTCTTCTTTTGAGATGACTCTTGGATTTCAGTACCTGCAAACAGCATGACGACGACAACGCCGCAACGGTCTCAAGAAAGACAGACCCCCACCCTGCTATCGGGCCGGTATATGCGAAAGTCTCTCCCATCCTCTCCCCATCCCTGATGGCTACAGGCTGGAGCTGAGTCCATGCACACACGCCTTCGAGCCTCGGCATCCTAGCCCCGAGCAGCTAGCAAATCTTCTCCGAAAGTGTCGCTTGGTGGCTATGGTGTTATTGTTGGGTGTCTGTGGTTTTTTTCTTGGGTCAATGGGGCAGATCCCCAGCAGCCTGAGGTTCTTCAGCGATAGGGTCCAGTCCTGCAGCTTGGCACGCTCCCGCAGATCCTCAGAGCGAAGAATTCAACGAAGCACGTTTGAAGAGTCAAGAGTGTGTTTCCAGAGCGTTTGGGCTTGAAAAGGGTTTGGAGATGTTTGGGACTTTCTTGGCTTGTTGAAGCAAGCTGTGTCCAATCTTCCCTATCAGGTGTGGAACATCTTCCGTGGTCTTAAGCTTCTTCGGCCTTGTCGGGGTGCGGTTGGTGCGGTTGCGACAGTTGCGGTCTCCGAAAAGGCCGGGGGCTTACGCCTTGGAATCTTTTCCCGATAGGCACCAAGCACGAAGCTTCATCCACGTGCCCAGCTCCACATCCTGACACCACACACTCGTGGGAGCCCCCTCAAGCCAAGCGTCGTCTCTCATATTCTTGGTGACGAACTTCTCGAAAACCTCCCGGGTGCCCACCCAAAACCGCGTGTCCGGCTCTGTGACGGTGACCTGAGGGGTACATTGCGGTTGTGAAGACACTTCGTGGGGCACGCCGCTGTTGATGCGGAGTTTGGCGTGCCCTGCGAAGAGCCAGCGGAGTGTAGGGCATGTGACGTTCAAGACAAGGTGTCTTGCTGTTGTATGAAATCATCCCTGAACTGATCCGAGAAAACCCCAAAAGCGAGTGACCCGCTGCAACATGGCGGTGCACCTTGCATCCTTCCAGGTCAGCCGGCCCTCAACTCAAAAAGGTTGGGGCTCCAACACAACCAGCGTTTTCCACAAGTACAAAAAGATGGACTTTCGATTTCACGATTCCAGATGTGACGAACCGGACCCCGAAACTTCCGAAAACTTCCGAAACTTCAAACCCTCAAGGCCAAACCATGCCGATTCCGGCCTTGCCCGACCGCTTCTCATCGAAGAGCAGTGCTCGCTCCCCAAAGCAGGCTCCTGGCGCTTTTTGAAATACTGCTGACCATGCTTGTGCCACTCTCCCGTAGCTCAACCTTGATCTTTACTGGCACAAGTCTAGGGTGTTTCGGCAGAACGACGACGACAACAGCCAAGCAACTCCAAACAGAACCCGCTACCCAGAATGCTGCTGCAATGCTGGCGCACAAACCCTGGGGGCCTTTGCCAAGCTCTCGGAGTAAGACTCCGTCCACATCAACACCTCAGCAAAAGCGGCCATGCACAAAGGCCAATCACCCTGAAACACCTCCAACCCTTCACGTTACGACCCGACGGCACCTCAAAAAAGACAGCTGCAGGACACCACGTGGCGTACAAGTGTAGCATTGTTGCTCTGGGAGTTGCAGAGGCTCCGAGGCTCAAAAGATTTGAAAGCCCACAGATGCATGCGGGCCACGCACACCGCCAGACATGATGATGAAGAACTTGCCACCATCTTCTCCTCGCAGCAGAGACCCGCGTGGCCCTGCTGAGCTCGTATCACTGAACAGAGCGACTACGAAAAGGAGCCCCCCTAAACCTTCAGACCCTCAGATGCGTGCCCTGAAGCCCAACATCGCTGCGAGCTGAAACCGTAGGGCTTAGGGTTTAGGGTTTAGGGTTTAGGGTTTAGGGTTTAGGGTTTAGGGCTTAGGGAGTTGTCTAGGGTTTAGGGTTTAGGGTTTAGGGTAAGAATGACGCTGGGCCAACATATCGTTTCTGACTACTGGTCCACAAAGAACCTTCAGACGGACCTTGACAATAAGGCCGCACAGCTGCAAAGACTGCTTTAAGACACGAAGGTGCCCCAAATGTCAAGAACACATCTTCTGAGCATCTTCCGAACAGCCCGAAACCCGAAAAACTGTGCGCGTACCAAAAGCAGACCTATAGAGTAGGATTCCTTCGCTGCACCCAAAAACCCAAACAAAAAAGGCCCTTCATGGCCTTGGTCGAAGACAATCTCTCCCGGTCTCCAGGGCTCTGTGGAGGTCAGGGCCCTTGAAATGGAACAGACCTGGAAGCTGCGCACGGCCTAAGGTTGAAGCTTTAAGCTTCAGGGTGTTTAGGGCCCAGGGTAATTCGGGGTGGGAGCCGGGTAGGGCGCTTAGACGGCCGAGTTATCTTCCGCAACGCTCACTGGCCGACCCTAAACCCCTAAACCCTAAACCCTAAACCCTAAACCCTAAACCCTAAACCCTAAACCCTAAACCCTAAACCCTAAACCCTGCCCAATGCCCACCTGGAAGTTCGCCAGGCGCTTCAGCACTGGGAGCCTTTCGCAGGACATGAGACTTGAAGGGGCTCGCGGGTGTCAAGAAGGCCCTTAAGCTGCCGGACTTGACAGGTTTTGACTGTTGGTTTAGGGTTTAGGGTTTAGGGTTTAGGGTTTAGGGTTTAGGGTTTAGGGTTTAGGGTTTAGGGTTTAGGGTTTAGGGTTGAGGGTTTAGGGTTGAGTGAGGATCCGAATCTGTGTAGTCAGCTTGTTCTTCGAGTTTGAGTTTGGCTGTTGGGGTCTTGGAGTTTTCGGCAAGCTGTACATGGGATGGACCTCAGGATCCACTTGCGTCTAGAAATCGTAAAAGAACAGAAGAAACCCTAAACCCTAAACCCCTAAACCCTAAACCCTAAACCCTAAACCCTAAACCCCCCCCAGCAAAAATGAAAATGCTTTACTCCTGGATCTGCGTTGTGTCGGATGGCAATTGCATGCCGCTACTGTGTCCTTCTTCGTGCCATCGGACCAATGGAAAAGCCCGTAGAACCCCTTAGAACCCCTTAGAACCCCTCAGAACCCCTTAGAACCCCTTAGAACCCCTTAGAACCCCTTAGAACCCCTTAGAACCCTAAACACCCACGCCCCCAAGCCACCTTGAGATGATCAGCACTTTGCTGACGTAGTCCATCCTAGGGACTTGCGGCTTCGGAATTGGGGCCACGGCCTTGCTGTAAGCTCAGAGCAGATACGGGGAATGAAACTCAGGGCTTCGGGCTTCGGTGGCTTGAGGGCAGTGGGAATTCTGGGTAGGCACGGACCGAGGTGCAACAGTAGGATTTAGAAGAGTCATTTCTCTGATGTGTGCGGATGTATTCAATCGGACATTCGAACCAAGTTTTGGGGTCGCGTGGCGAATTTGGAGTTTGTCGGGGTTTCGAGCTCGAAAGCCACGGGGTTCCCAAACCCTCAACACTAAAAACCCCAAACCCTAAATCCCTAAAAACCGATACCGCAAAACTTTAGACCCTAACAACCCCAAACCCGAATCAACCTGCCCCGAAGTGCCCGGAAGACCCCCCCCTGTTCGGGACTCAGTTTCAACTCCGTGGGCTCTGGCAGCTCCATGTCCCCAGAGAGGCTTCGCGCGATGCCCTCGAGGGGAACCAGCGCGATCCTGCGCTCGAAACAACGGCCTTAACAACAAGCGACTGAGGGTTGGGATGTTCCCACTTATACTAACAGTCCTTCATAGGGATGAGCAAGAAGCGCTGTGGGTGTAAGGGGGAACATCCCAAAAAGCAATCTGAATAACAAGGAGCTCTTATGTGCTCTTATAGATACCTGCTAGATAGCCTCCTTGCTGAAGGGTTTGTTTTATTCTTTCGGGGGAATTCTCTGATTCTTGATTCAATTTAATGTCCTTGTGTCCTCCCGCTCACCGCACACTGCGAATCAAATTGTTCCACATGCGATGCGCACACTAAAAAACCCATACAGCCGTACAGTTCAGATGCTAATGAACTTACTATAAAGAGTAAGTTTACTGAGGAAAGCATTCTGTGACCGTGAGCAGCTTCATGTGCACAACGATAAGGTTTCCTGGGACTGGGAAGAAAATTGCTTTCGTGTTGCAGAGGTCATGGCTTTTTGGGTTACGGCAGAGCTGCACCAAGTTTCCCGAGGCTTCATGCTGTTAACTTTCAAGCGTCATGCTCCCATCATTCAGGACATTCGGCATTGGAGTCTAAAGAAAGGGCTTGTGAAAGCAAGAATGCTCGGGTCATTCGACAGCCCTTCACGTTCAGCGCTGTGTGAAGCAAAGGCAGCACACGTTGACGGGCGCCTGCCCCCTTTCGGGCCCGCAATGAGGCGGTCCGGCCGCAGCGGCCGCGGTGCCGATGCCTGACAAAGAGAGACAGGATTTAAGTTTGGGCCGTTTACAGCTCTGAGGCTGTGCAGGGCACAGGGCTCCGCAAGGCTTAAGGCCGTCAGGCTTGAGGATTTGAAGTTGGGGGCTTGGTGCTCGATTTGCTTCTTGCGTTTTGGAGTTTGGAACTCAGGCTCAAGGTACCACGTGACACTGGACTAAGGATCGCAGGTTCATATGATGTTCCTGTGATCATATCGTCAACTTGAACGGAATACACACCCCCATTGGTATTCTTACACGGCACCTACCAATCAGCGGCCCATGTCAGACGATCACATGGGGCCAACATCTTCATTTACATGCGGGCAGTCAACACTTTAACTTTAACCGTCAGCCAAACAAGAACCCCCAGTGCCACCCACCATACACTAATCACAGAAAACCATTCGCACCCACCATCTTATGAGGATCATGGGCCGTCGACACACACGCCGCGCGTCCCGTGCGAACAATTTGTAGCTAACAGACTTCCAGGTAGTGTTGGTACTGGATGGCATTCAGGTTTAGGCCTTTTAGGCCTTTTGCCTTCACCTGTTGGGGATCAAGGGCAAAAGGGCAGGTCAGTCCAGCCTTTGGGGACTCGTTCGCTTTTGAGCTGCAGAGCATCCTCGGGGGCGCAGCTCCGTGTTCCAGCAGGTTTGCACAATTTCAGCAGTTGCCAGACAAGCCACTTGACGGACAACTTAGGCACGCAAAGGGCTGGGCTACTTCAGAGACATGTGGCGCTGCATGCGGCTCACGTTCTGGGTTTGCTTCAAGGACTGTGGTGTTTCACACAAAGTCCCGAATGGCTCGAAGAAACCACCATTTTGAAATCTGTTCTGTCACCAGGCGGATCTGTCGGCCCAGCCGCTGGAGCTGATCAAAGTCCTCCGCCTGCGCCCAGCCACCGCGCTCCAAGCACCGGCTCGAGGCCTGCGGAGCTAAAAGCGGGCGCTCAAAAGTTGACTGTCCTCAAAGTTTCGCAGAGGTTTGCGATTTTTTTGGGGGTTTTTTTGTCCTGTCCATTTTTTGTTTTTTCCTACATCATTATGTGGGGTTCTTGTTTTTCGGCGCCCACATGCACGCCAACCGCCAACCCGCGCACGCCACATACGCGCCGCCACACGACACCGACACACACACACACATACACACACACACACACACACACACACACACACACACACACACACACACACACACACACACACACACACACACACACACACACACACACACACACACACACACACACACACACACACACACACACACACACACACACACACACACACACACACACACACACACACACACACACACACACACACACCCACACACACACACACACACACACACACACACACACACACACCCACACACACACACACACACACACACACACACACACACACACACACACACACACACACACACACACACACACACACACACACACACACACACACACACACGCCCACACACACACATCCCCACACACCACACACACACCACACACACACACACACACCACACAACACCCACACACACACACAACCACCCACACCACACACACACACACACACACACACACACACACACACCACACACACACACACACACACCACACACACACACACACACACACACACACACACACACACACACACACACACACACACACACACACACACACACACACACACACACACACACACACACACACACACACACACACACACACACACACACACACACACACCCCCACACACACACACACCCCCACACACACACACACACACACACACACACACACACACACACACACACACACACACACACACACACACACACACACACACACACACACAACACACACACACACACACACACACACACACACACACACACACACACACACACACACACACACACACACACACACACACACACACACACACACACACACACACACACACACACACACACACACACACACACACACACACACACACGAGCCGCCGCACGTGCACGGCAGTAAAAACGCATAACACACATACACACGCGCACCGCCGTACGACACTACACACATCACACGTGCACTGCCTCATAGTCACATGCACCGCCGTACAACACTACGCACATACGCGCACGGCAGTAAGACACATACAACGCATGCAACAAGAGGGGTCGCCACCCTCACTGTGGTCACTGGGTGTCAGGGCATCAAAGCGGCGCTGAAACTTTGAGGGTTTTGACAGCACTTTTCAAAATGCGATTTAACACCCTCGAAACACGACGAACGAATGTTTTCAGGGGCGCGTGGCATGTCGCGGCAATTGACCCTTGAGAGAGCACACGCCCGCTGACAACGTTTTGACTGGGCCAGCCCCCTTTTTGGCGGTGGTTCGTGCCGACCAGGCCCACACTCTTTGTTGAGAGTTCGTCGAGCACGCCTCGAACATCGACCACCCTCGCGGCATGTGTGGGGTGACACTGTTACTCCGTGTGTTGAGCATTTTTCACCGCGGCCCGTCACATCACGCAAATCAACCTGGGGACCCTTTGGTACACTAGTAACCCCCATCTATTCCCACGGCCGCCTCCCCGGCAGGGGGTTCTCGCGGTGGGAGCGAAGCTCCATGCGCTTGAGCACACAAAACATCACCAGCCAGCACGAACGATCTCGGTCTTGTCAATGCCGCGCAAGGATAAGAGCCCGACCAGGCCCAGGAGAGATCTTTCACCGCCCTCCCCACGCTACTTCCTTCGTCTGGAGGTCACGGCCAAGCTCCGGGCTAGAGAGCAAGAGAGAGATCAGCTAGCCGAAGGCTAGAGTTTTTCTCGCGGATACCGGATTTCGCCATTCGCGATAAAACAACACAAGCGCCGGCGCACTAGCCCGTGCCACTGCGGTTGCCGGCGTAGCCGAACTGGGGCCCTGGTCAGACGCCGTAGCCACTGGAGTCGGCGAGACCGTAGCTATGGCTGAAGCGGCGCCCAGTAGCTCCTCTCCCCTTTGCGCAGGTAGGACTTGGGCCAGCTCTATCTCGGCTACGAGGCTGGCCAAGGTGTCCAACCACCCGGCGTCGAGGCCTAGCTCGAGCGAGCGGCGAAATTCTTCGCGCCGGGGCTCTTCCAGCCAGTAGCGCAATCCCAACACGACTTCGGAGGAAGTTGGCTGCACCATGGCTTCGGAAGTAGCTAAGGCAGCTGCTGGTACACGCACACGGGCGGGCTTAGCACAAAAAGAAGGCTACTGAGAATCCTGTCCTCACTTGGAATCTTGAGGCAGTGCTCGAATGTTCCACAAAAAACTACAACCTGTCATGTATGAGGCCTGGGGGCCATAGAGCAAAAGTTGTGGGTTTTTCAAGATTTTAGAACGTCGCGCTGGCTCGAATTTTCAAAACATCTTTAAGCACCAGGTCACCAGAACTCGAGCAGGGTCGAATTTTCAAGCAAAACAAAAACAAACTTCTGTCATCTACGAGGTCTGGGGGGCCACAGAGCCATAGTTTTTGGCCTTTTTTGAAAAGTTCGAGCCGGCTCAGAGCTCTGTACCGATGGAGCTCGCTCTGCCTTCTGCTACAGATACAGAAGTGCTTCACACGTTTCTAGATGTAATGGATGTGCGTGGATTGTACAGGTCCAGGACTCCAAGATATCACATTGCGGCTACAGCTTTGAAACTGGTGACACTTCTTGTCCACAGAGTCATGAGGGCAGGAGCGCACGAGGTTGCAAGCAATAGCCCCTATCGACACAAGCTGCAA